CTGGACTACGGCACAGGTAGGGCACCCTTACGCGGTGTCGGAACCGTAAATGAGTATCGAAAGCATCTTTATTGTCAAAAACGAGTTCACAGTCTCTGTATTGACAGCGAAACGCAGTGTTACCGACGGATTCGCGGCAATCTATGCCTATATTATGCGTATCAATAGGGGACTCGGATGTCAAATCTCTGGGACTGGTATGATCTGGTGGGAAAGGGAGCCTGAGATCAGACATCACATTCGTAGCAATACTGCCGGCGTTTGAAGGGCTATTTGATTTGAAAAAACTAAATTCAGTCAAAATTATCTAAAAATAAATTACCGTTTGGTAATAGATCAAATACATACCTGTGCTCATGAAAAACATTGGCATTCCTTGAATTATAGCAATCTTCATGTGGTATTTGTTGTGAATGTAGGCTCCGTTTGTGTAGATCTAACAGCGATTCACTGCTAAACCTATTGCCACAGTCGTTAACATCGCAAACATAAGGCAGAGGAACAGCCGTTTTATCAGTGGCCGACACACGAGAACCTACTTTCATGTGAGCGATTCTGATGTGAGTGGACAGGGCTTTATAGGCATGAAAAGCCTGACCACAACACGAGAACTTCCCTTTCGGGCCCTTATTTGGTGGTCTAGTAGTCGACCCATCATTAGTAGACTCACTATTTGTTTAACAAATAAAATGAATTAATATTTTTAAACAAAAACAAATGAATACAAAAATAAAATACTTGTGTGAAGTGGAGGGGACACTAGGGTTACGGCTATCCTCAGGTGGCAGTGAATGTGCGCTACGTTTGTGAGAATCGAGTGCCGATTGGGTGCTAAACCTTTCGGGACACCCATTCCAACACTTATACAGTACGGACCCGCTATGGGCTGCCTTTTGGTGTCGTTTCCTATCAAATATGGTATCAAACTCTTTGTCGCATTCCTTACATTTGAACGCATTTTGCGGCTCATCAGTGGCCAAACCCTGAGTGCCTGACCCCTGGGGGTCATTGACACCGAACCCGTGATTGGCCACCATATGGTCCGTGAGCGCGACCGACGTATCCAACACTTTATCACATAAATCACAACCAAAAGTCTTTTTGTTGAAAATCTTTGATATGTTTTTCGTCGCCAAATTAACTAATGAGCCGGTATTCTGCGAACAGGTAGTTATTTTAGGCTTCTTAGCTACCGGTGCTTCGCTTTCAGTTTCTATCGATGATGTTGTAGGCACTGGTATGCATTCATTGGCAGATCTAGTGTTAAGTATACGTTTAGGTATACGCCACGTATTAATTGGTTTGGACATATGACTCGTATAACTATTGGAAGTGGTGGGAACTGGTGTTTCAGTAGGAGTTTCAATAATCTCTATACAGTCACCACTGGATACATTAGAAACAGGAGGTTCAATTACACTATGAATACCGGTACTTAGTATCGGCATCGGATGTTTGTCAGTGCTAGTGGTGGGCACTGAAGCGCCAGTAGTCTTACTAACATTAGATACCCGAGACTTTACTGGCGTGTGATTGGCTTTGGTGTGACCGGTAAGTGCGGTCTCGTTATCAAATTTTTTCCAACAAAAAGCACACGTAAATGGTATGCCCTTTGGCCCGATAGTCGACTTACTTTTACTGTACGACAGAAATAATAATTTCAATGAATAGTACAGTAAATGATAAACAATTAAATCAATAAATAGTAAATACTTGTGAGAAGTGTTGGCATCCATTGGCTTATTGTTGTTCTTACGACTCATTTGCTGGGATTTAGCGGTTTGTTTGCGTTTGGGGTCCGGTATGCGATGGACACTCCACTTGTGTCCAATGAGCGTCACCTCATTTCTATAACTTTGGTCACAACTATTGACATCACATTTAAATGGCTTTTCTGGAGTCACTGTCAGCTCATCAGTTGTGGTATTCACATGAGATTCTAATGTATGACTACTTGTTTGGGCGCCGGTATCAACAGTATTGTCTTCAATGGATTCATTGGAATTATTGATTGAATTCGTTTGAGGGATGGAAATGATCGGCGACGAGGAGCTAATTATCACCGGCTGTTGTATATCAGTCGCAGCCATGTTTGTAACACGCGGTGAAGTGTTGAGCACCGGTAGGAAGTCATCAGCAATGTGGTGACCCTCTCGCAAGTGATTACTAAACCCTTCACTACTATTGCATCCATACCTACACTTCGCACGACTGCATACGTATAACTTGAGTACTGAATGAAAGGCTTTGTTATGTTTCTTGAAAGTAGGCAATGAGTTGAAGTCTTTATGACAGATATCGCACTGGAATAGCATTTCTGTGGGAACCGGTAGCTCAGCAGTCGATACATCAGTATTTGATGGACTATTGGTTAACAAAATTCATTTCAATTAAATTAATGTATTTAATGAATGCATAAACAAATACATGTCTGAAGAGTTCGGGTCTATCAATGTCTTTGAAGTAGTTGTTGGCACTCGAGAGGCGTTTATCGACTGTTTCCTATCATCTGATGGTTGTTTGGGTCGACTGTCCACCACCTGAGCGTCAATCACAGACTCGACTATAGGTATTGATTCACTATTTAATACATAAAT